ACTAAATAAGGTAACCCTCGATGTTTAACTGTGAATCTTAGAGGGTGAAGTTAAATAGTTACGGTTTACGCTAAGACAAGGAAATGTACATGAGAGGGAGTGTTAAAATAGGAAGGCATCGAGAGGTTGTAATAATATCGAATAGCACTAAATAATTAAATAAAGTAACCCCTCGAAGTTTAAATGTTAATCTTGAAGGCTGTGGTAAAATGGTAAGAGTTTACACAAATTAAAGGAATTGAAAATGGGAGGGAGTGTAAAAATAGAAAGATAAGTAGGTTATAAAATTGAAACTAACGCAAATATGAAACCAAAGATCAACAAGGAAGGGTGGTATCCAATGAAGGCATCCCTGAACACAACCCAGCAACATACTATGTTACGGAAGTCTGGGTGATTTCTTGACAGCAATGAAACAAACAAAAAATGGTGAAACTTGTAGACTTGAGTAACCTATGAATTACATCGTATTTAACAAAGATATTTCTGTACAAAAAACTACTTTAATGAAATAGTATGTCTTTTATCATGGTCAGGTTTGTTCATCAGTGAAAATGATTAAATGTCTTGATCATAAATGAATCTAATTACATATCCTGCAGATCTTTGTAAAATATGTTTGTAGATGACTTCTTGTGACTTGGTATGTTTGAAAGATGATGCGCAAATGGAGAGAGAAAACTTATTAACAATTATTACCATTATACTGACTATCTAAATCTTAATTATTTCTATCTCCTTTCAAATATCATTGTTTTTGTTTAACTTGAATGAACAATAAGTCTTTATTATTCTGAACAATATTTCATATAAGTAGAAGCTATATGTCTATGAATTAATTTAATTAGACGAACATAAATATAAATTCTAATTCAAATGCTAAAATTAATTCGTTAACAATGGCAAAGTTAGAATCTGATTTTAAATGAGAATTATTGTTTATATAAGTGTACTTACATAATTCAATGATACTATTATGCAGGAGACACCTCTGTATATGGTATTACATCAAACAATTTTACTTTAAATGCCAACCAATATCTATGTGCACTGGTTCTGAATACAATGTACACTACATTCTATCATAAATAACAAACAAATGTGATGATTTACTAAAAGTGAAGATGACGGTTCATGAACAGCCCGGCTGTTATTCACTATACACATCTATTAAATATACATAAATAAATAGAAGTCGTATCAGCTATAAATTAAAGTACCTCTACTCTTATAATATGAACAAATTTATTGCAGTATCGAGACATATATCTAACTGACACAAATATTATAAGAATAAACAACACATAAGGGTATACTGACAAAGTAATGTGATAAGTTTTATATTTTAATGAATATTTAACAGTAAAACGAGTTTGTTATGTATACTGATTAGTTGATTTTGAACGTCAACTTCATGATTTTGTTAATTTAAATTATATTCAATGTATCTGAAAATGTCAAAAGAAACTTTTGAAATACTAGAAATGTCTGACCAGTTTGTGTACATGATTACTTTTTTTGCGAACTTTTTCCATAAGTGATCATCTAGATTTATTCACATATCTAAACAACAACTGGCTGCTCATATAAATCACTACTACATTACAATTTATTTACAACATATATTATAGACTAGTTTTTATCATAAAGTTATATAACTGTGATAGGTCTTTAATCTTTAGTCCCGAACCCAAACTATTATGATAATGAACAAAATTCAAAAGCAAAACTCAATGTGAATGAATGTAACAACTAACTGATGTATTCTCTGAAAAAATATTTGGATTTTATAGGAATGTCAAATCTTTTATCCCATCCAAATTTACCAGCTATTAAACATATGCTTTCACATTTAAATATAATTAGAAGTATAGCTTTTCGAAGATCAGAAGTATCACCCATGGTATTGGATGTATAACTGAAAAAGTTTCAAAAATAATCTAAAACTTTACATTATTAAACGTTATCACATTCTTGGCACAATGCTAAAAATAATAAAAGTTATTACCATGTTGTTTGAAAAATATATGCGATTCAAGTTTAAGTTTTATATCAGTTACATAGGACAACATATATATCTTTAAATAACTTTAGAAATAGCAAGAAAGAATCATGTTTTTAAAATAAAATGATAAGAAACAAAACCAAAGAAAAACATATATGAAATTCTTTTTATTTTGGTAAATTGAAATAGGTATATGTCAGATTTGATAAAATAGAAAGAGGATGGATTAAAAATACGGTTATAATTGCCATTTATCAATGGAGTATCCTTATATCTTCATATAAGAATTATTTTTTGAGGCCCCTCATGCCTTACATAATTTGTGTGAATGTACAAAATATTCTATAATCATTAATAATCAAGTAATTGTAATATTAGTTTGTTATATTTCAAAATATAGGCAAGATATTTATATCATTTATATCAATACTGTCATTTTAAAAAATATAAGAAAACAAACAAAAACAAGCAAAAACAAAGAAGAACAAAAACATACATACACAATTAAAAACAAACAATCTCTATCTGGTATTGAGTGAAATTATTTTCTTTATTAGGTGTAGTCGAATCAAAAATGTTACAAATGCTCAGCTATCATTTTCATCTTCTGGTAAATGTGTCCTTTTGTAGACATTCCATACAAACTTCATATAATAATTGTCTAGATAAACTTCTGAACATTAGTAAAAACAATGAGAAGACAAAATAAGAAATTCATACCATTCAGAATCGGAAATATTAACCTTTATAACTGTATAAAATAACCATATTTCCCCTCATTTGACACGTAAAAGTACATGTATATTTGCAAATATATCTTAATAAAAAAAATCCCACACACACCATAATCTGATCGGTGAAAAAGAATAATTTAAAAAGTTGTCTCCGGGTAGGCTTTGAGCCCACACCCTATGAATTAAATTAATACATGTCAGAATGGAAGATAATAGATGTTTTTCTTAACAGACACGTCATTAAAAGCATAATTATATATTTATACAGTGCACACCGATAGCATAGATGGTACAACCATTGTGGTTCATAACACAAAATATAATATACAATGCGATTACCTAAACTAACAGGAATGTTGTACATAAAACACATAAATCTAACACATTAATTTATAAACAAAATATTGTGTCTTATTCTAAAACAAATATCAAATCGCGAGGAAATCAGACATATTTAATGGGTAATTTAATATCACGTACACCTATGGATCCGTTTGCCTGAACTCCCTACCATGAAAGCAGGTCGTTTTCTTAAGATACATTTTTACTGACGGAGGTCATTTTTTTATCACAAAATGTCGTAAAATTCTACCATTTAACAAATGCTCGTTTTCTTGTGTTTAATGTGCTTGATAACATTTAAGTAAATCATGTATTACTTATTCTTGTTCTTCTTGTTCACAATTTTTTTTTAAATAGACATAAATTTTAATACAAAGGAGAAGAAAACACATATAACGAGGATGTATTGCTGTGTATACATGTTGCCGAATATTTGGGAGCAAGCGGTGTCGCAATCTCTTTGAATACTTTCTTTGGTTCCCTCGTAATCTACATAAATTAAAAAAACGCATCCATAAGCTAACATGCAAACAAAGTTATTGTAGAACTGAACACAAAAATAAATATTTTTGTATCAAATGATAATAATTTGCTTGCTTAAAAGAAAGCGTATATCAACATGTACTCTCCTGTGCATCGGTTGAATGTTTCATTGCCATCCACTTTCTTACTTGAAGTAATGGCAGCTGGTGTATTCAATTACCTGGCAAGGGAGGGAAGTCAGCATTACTAAAGCTGAGGAAAATGCTGATTGAAGTTACAAACCTTTTTTTCTCCAAATTTCTATAGTAACCATAATTTTGATTTATGTTAAGTTTATGTTTATAAATGTAGGAAATATATACGGTGCTTGAAAGGTGGTACAATGTATTCGCATAACTGTAATGGGTTTAAAAGACACGGATGCCCTCGTTATATGTCAGGAAACAGAATGATATGAATAATAAATGTTATGACAGGTTAGCATAGTTGGTATTTCATAAACATTTTGAAAGAACAGACGACTGCTGACATAAACGGTTATTTTATATAAACAAGGCCTAAATGTTAGAGTGACAGAGCATAATTTTCTTAAGTTTGAAAGGAGCATTAAACTGAAAAACAAAAGTTGAACACTTTTTACAAAAGTCACAATTATTTTTATTGTATTATTATAAGTAAATCATCAATTTTCAAAACTGCTAAGATAACAAGGACTCCTATGCTTTACACTTTTGCAAGCTGACTTTGAAATCCTTTGATGCATGACAAAGTTATGGACCGGAAACGATTTTCTGACTGATGAGTGTGATCTTGACATTAGACCTAGTGGTCTTCGTCTTGCGCATGACACGCATCATGCTTCAAAGGAAAATATTAGGTAATAGCACTATTTTTCATGATAAAATAGTCCATTCCAACGATATAAATTCGTTAACTGGGAAACGCCGCCACAGTTCAAACATAAAAAATCATCAGCTTTACATTCCCTTGAAACGTTAATCAAATTTACATGATACAGCATTCGTTGATTTTCTATACTTGATGCAGAGTTTACAAAAACATGTTATAAAATAATATTATACCTAAGTTCACACTTAAATTCGGCGATACATGTACACTAGCTAGAGCAATTTATCGTATACTTCCGAAAGAGGTAGCTCTATTGTTTACCGAGCGAGAGTAAAACCTTTTCTAGCTTTAAAGCAATAATTTATACTAAAGATTTTGGTAGGAATTTTAACATGCAATGATTGAATTGTAGGAATTGTTACAGGACAAGATTTCCCTGATTGATATTTAATATGATATTTACTAGCAAGTCGGAAACTTTAGCAGAACCTTATCTATAGAGATATAGACGTAGCAAACAGAAAGTCAGTAGAATGGTTTATCTTGCAAGCTTATATATAATGAAATAAAATACATCATGTACTTACAGAGGCACTCTTGTCTGCAGTATTCCGATTTATCAGAACTACATATAAACGAACATCTATAACAGGTTTTGCCGTTCCAGAAGTAAGCGGTACCACACAATAGCCTTGTATCTAAAAGTAAACATTAGAAGTACACTTAAATAACTTTGTACTGCTTATGTAGACTGTGGGACGTGGGCGTGAACATTCACCACTTCTAAAATAGAGAAAAACGAAATCCCTAAAACCCAAAACGACGTAATGGAAACTGTTGCAGGCTCAGTTTAATTGAACCTGTTCATGGACGGTACTGGAATGTGCAAGCTGCTGTTTATGCCGTCACGGCTTTTGCGGCGGTTATCATGGAACCTATAGTGACATTCCACGAAAAGCGGCATATGTATTCCCCCCCCCCCCCAAAAAAAAAAAAATAAAAAAAAAATAAAATAATAATAATAAATAAATAAAAAGAGTGTGTGTGCCCTAATAACAATGGGCGGAACTAAAAAGAATGGAATTTTGAAAGGGGATCAGAGGTTATGAAGCCTGCATATCGCAGACAAGACGTAAAAGAAGATACCGTATCCTAGGGATGATTATACAGTCAAGTGGGAATCCAAGCTGAAAAAGATCAAATAGAAGGAACTAAAATACCATTAACATGTACACACAACACTAATGTCGTTTTGAACGATCTTCAAGAATCGAAAATAAAATAACTTTGATTATATGCACGGGGCAACTTTTTACGGCCTCCAAATAACTTACATCAACATGATAAAAAAAGACTGAATCTGTCATATTTTCAATATTTCCATGTTCGGCATTCGTTATGGTTTCAGTATATCTATTATATCACATAAAGTATTAAAACATTTTATTTAACATTAAATGCTCACATATTACCTTTACACACAACTTCCAGAAGCCCTCCTATGTCATTGTCTTCACTTGTGCTCAGTTTAAATTTATGTTTTTCGTCAGTGGCAATACTGACAAAAGTGAATGACATATCTTTTCCTCCTATGAACATTACGTATGTCAATTTGTCTTCCAAATATTGATTAACCCTTTCCATTTTCTTTATTTCCGAATCTTTGTCCAAAACAAAGAAAATCAACGTTGCAATTTCTTGCGCATCGTGACGACCTCGTGTACCATCTATTGCTCTTTTAATATGTTTGAATTTGATTTTTCGCTTCATACTCTCTCGTTCAGGTTCAAGTTGTGATATAATTTTCTGCCATTCTGATTTGCCTATGAAGATGTCGATAGTTTTTTCAGAAATTGCTCCTATGAGTGTGAGATGAACTAAAGAGCCTTTTGACATGTCTTTTATTAACTTACTAATAGCATTTCTTTGTGTGTAAAATATTTTGTTATTACTGCAGATGTCCCAGAATAAGTAAGCTCTATATGGTTTGCATTTTGTCTTGGTTTCTGCTACTGAAGCTAAGAAGAAAAAGATTTTTTTTAAGTTTTAACATAACAAAATGCAACACATAAATGTTAACATGTGTTATCAATTATACACAAATTGGATAACAACAATATTTTCATTATTATATTCATAATTACCAAGTGATCCGTATTATCACAATAATATTTTTAAAGATATTTCTTGTAAATTTCGCGGATACAACATTTCGCAGTTTTAGAATGTTTCAATTCGTTCAACAATAAAATTCTAAACAACAGTGAATTACAAAAAATATTCGTTAGGCATGTTCCACCATAAAACGACACGTCTCTCAAACAAAAATCGTTTATAAGTTCTACATGTAAGGTGGAAAACTATGATATAAATATTATATGTTTTCATTTACTATCTACACCACATTCAAAGATGAGATGATATCCTGAGCATTTATATCTAATATTTATTGAAGATATGCTTCAGTAAGTCAGGTCTGTGGTTCTATTTAAAGGATAAATACTGCTCTCGCCTATGTAAACAAGAACCGGTTGAGCCAGGTGATGCTCCCCGAGAAGGTTTTGGACACAGGAAAGTATAAAAAAAAATGAACAAAGGGCAAAAACTCCAAAATTAGGCAAGGCAGAGTTATGTTTTTTGCACTGCACTTTTATTCAATGAGGACTATCTATCTATAAAGTTTCCTGATGATATCAGAGTTATGTCCCGGGTAAAATTCAAAAAAGTGTAAAAATGAACAAAGGGCAATAACTCCAAAATTAGACAAGGCTGTGCTTAGGTTCTTTGGCATTGCAGTTATATCCAATGAGATCTACCTACCTACAAAGTTTCATGTTGATATATGTAATAGTTTTAGAGTTGTATCCGGGACAAAAGTCAAAAAGTAAAAATAAACAAAGGGCAATATTTTCAAAATAAGGCAAAGCAGAGTTATTATTCTTTAACACTGCATTTCTACCCAATGAGACCTATCTACCTACAAAGTTTCATGTTTATAACTCTTATAGTTTTAGAGTTATGTCCCGGACAAAGTTCAAAGTGTACAAATAAACAAAGGGCAATTATTCAAGTATTAGGCAAGGCAGAGTTACGGTTCTTGTGCACTGCGCACTACTCAATGAGATCTATCTACCTACAAAGTTTCATGTTGATACTTCTTATACTTTTAGAGTTATGTCCCGGACAAAATTCAAAGTGTTAAAATAAACAAAGGGCAATAATTCTAAAATTAGGCAATGCAGAGTTACGGTTCTTGTGCACTGCATACGTACTTAATGAAATCTATCTACCTACAAAGTTTACATGTTGATACCGTTTATAGTTTAAGAGTTATGTCCTGGACAAGTTCAAAGTGTAAACATAAACAAAGGGCAATAATAAAAAAATTAGGAAAGGTGGAGTTCATGTGCACTGCACTGCACACCTACTCAATGAGATCTATCTACCTACAAAGTTTCATGTTGATACCGCTTATAGTTTTAGACTTGTCCCGTTCAGTTCAAAGTGTAAAAATAAACAAAGGGCAATAATTAAACAAGAGGGCCATGATGGCCCTAGATCGCTCACCTGACTTATCAAACTCATCCAAACAATTACCTAGACAAACATTCTGACCAAGTCTCATGACAGGTGAGTCAAAAATGTGACCACTACAGTGTTAACAAGGATTATCCATATTTGAGCAGTGCGACCTAGTTTTTTACCCAGGTGACACATATTCAAACTTGACCTAGAAATCATCAAAACAAACTTTCAGACCAATTTCCAGTATACTTTGATCAAAACAGTAGCAACTAGAGTGTTAACAAGATTTTTCTATTTTCAGCTCCGGTGACCTAGTTCCACATGCGATTTCGAACTCATCCAAGCAATTACCTAGACAAGCATCCTGACCAAGTTTGATGATAGATGAGTCGAAAATGTGACCACTAGAATGTTAACAAGGTTTTTCCATATTTGGGCGGTGTGACCTAGTTTTTCATCCAAGATGACCCATGTTCGAACTTGACTTAGAAATCATCAAAACAAACTTTCAGACCAATTAACAGAATATTTGGATCAAAACAGTAGCCACTAGAGTGTTAACAAGATTTTTCTATTTTTAGCTCCGATGACCTACTTTTTCATCCGAGATGACCCATGTTCAATTTATTCCCAGCAATGACCTAGACAAGTTTCCTGACCAAGTTTGATGACAATTGAATCAAAATTGTGACCACTAGAGTGTTAACAAGGTTTTTCTATTTTTAGCTCCTGTGACCTAGTTTTTCATCCGAAATGACCCATGTTCGAACTCATCCGAGCTATCACCTAGACAAGCATCTTGATCAAGTTTGATGATGATTGATTCAAAAATGTGACCGCTAGAGTGTTAACAAGGTTTTTCTATTTTTAGCTCCGGTGACCTACTTTTTCATTGGAGATGACCCATGTTCAAACTCATCCGAGCTATCTCCTAGACATTATCCTGACCAAGTTTGATGATGATTGAGGTAAAATTGTGACCTCTAGAGTGTTAACATGCTTTTTCTAGTTTTAGCTCATGTGACCTAGTTTTTCATCCAAAATGACCCATGTTCGAACTCATCCGAGCTTTCACCTAGACAAGCATCTTGACCAAGTTTGATGATGACTGATGCAAAAATGTGACCGCTAGAGTGTTAACAAGGTTTTTCTATTTTTAGCTACGGTGACCTACTTTTTCATCTGAGATGACCCATGTTCGAACTCCTCCTAGTGTTCACAAGCAATTGTGGACGTACGACGGACGACGGACATTCACCGATCCTAATAGCTCACCCTGAGCAAGCTCAGGTATTGTGCACTGCACACCTACTCAATGAGATCTATCTATCTACAAAGTTTCATGTTGATACCTCTTGTTGTTTCAAAGTTATGTCCCGGATAAGAAAAGCGGACAGACGGACAGACGGACGAACGGACGAACAAGGCAGCGACTGAATTCTCCCCCAAAATTTTTCGGGAAGCATAAAAATGTATCCATTTTAGAGATTTAGGTAATCATGTACATTTAGATAGTTTATGGATTTAGCGCCTTTATGAGGCGTTAGGATTATTCAGAGAATGAGCAAAACAGCAACACCGCAAAGTGTATAAAACACAATAGGACTACATTGGTCTTTAATGCTCTTCTCCGTGAAGCCTGTAATTGCAAATTATCAAATGTTGTTCCATATAATTACCGTATATATCTATAATGAAAAAAAATTTAAACCAATAAATTGATCCGTATTATTGCAATAGTTTCTTTGAAATTGATTAAGGTATGATGCTCACTTGGGAAGTTTCAACGAGGTATGTGAAGCGTGAACCGAGCAGTAGTCATTATGTAGTCTATGTGCTACAAAATGAATCTTGATCGGGATACTTATCCGTATTTATTTTGGATATTCATATTTGATTATCCTTGGTGTTTCTTTACCTAGTGATTGGATATTAATTATACAAAAAATTCAGAAATTATTAACTGCAACCATAAAATATCTAATTTTATTTAAATCAATTTAAAATAAATATTTCAGGAATCAATTGCTTTTCTCAAAACTTTGCTCTAACTAAATAAAACTAAAACATCTCTCCATCAAACAATTCCTTATTATCCGTAAATTACAAATATCTATCATCCCACAAAACTTTTTCACAAAGAAGACTTATGAGCCGCGTCACGACAAAACCAACATAATGGGTTTGCGACCAGCATGGATCCAGACCAGCCTGCGCATCCGCGCAGTCTGATCAGGATATATGCTGTTCGCTATCAGTTTCTCTGCTTCTAATAGAGTTGGTAAGCGAACAGCATGGATCCTGATCAGACTGCGCGGAAGCGCAGGCTGGTCTGGATCTGTGCTGGTCGCAAACGCACTATGTTGGTTTTGTCGTGACGCGGCTCAAGTATTCGTCATCAACCACTTCAACTGGAGATTGTACTGAAATAGTAATATATTCCCAGAACGAACCAGACAACTGGGATGTCTGTGAAAATATAAATAAGGATAATACTACTAAAAATCTTAGAACTATGAAAGGCGTAAAGGCATAATTAAAACAGTTCCATAGAATTTCTTAAAAATTGTCATGATATGAGAATATTATGACAGAAAAAGTTTTAGCGAAAAAAGGTCGGGTGTCACCGATCTCATTTTTGAGTTATCTACCCTTGAATCAGAATTATTTACTTATCTGAGGTCATTTCAGGACTGATAACTTAAACACACGTCCAAAATAATTCGATTTCTAAATCGAGATTATTTTTCTTTCTTTTCATTCTTTATCAAATTTCATAATAGTATAACATGCAACTCCGTAAATAATTTTCATTTTGAATTAAGGACCATAAAATTCTTTTAAAATCGGCCGTTTTTTTTTAATTATATAGTATTATCTGATTGGTTAATTATCTCGTGCGCACGACTTAATTATTTCGTCCCGACGACTTTTTACTCGTGGTCACGACATAGTATATCGTGCTCACCACTTAAGTATCTCGTGGCCACGACTTAGTAACTCGTGGCCACTACATAGTATCTCGTGCTCGCATCTTAATTATCTCGGGCTACGACTTAGTAACTCGTGGCCACGACATAGTATCTCGTTTGCACGAGATAAATAAAATCGCACAAACGTCACCTTTGTGCCACCGTATGTATAAGACATAATCTGTTGATTTTTTCTACGTTTACGTATATAGGGTTAAATATGGACGTACAACTCTTTTATTACCTTTAATATATCTTTGGTCTATATTGTGGCAATGTAAAACGGTTTTATAGAGCGGGAATATTTATTTATTAATGGGTATAGACCGATTTATTTATACACACCAAATGAAGCATATAGTAGTTCTAAACACGATGTTTAAAGAATATTTTTTTTTTGAACCATGGGTAGCCCCATAGATAAATTTTAAAAAACTGAATTTTAACAATTTTATTTTTAAATGTTGTAAAAAAAGACCACTATTTTGGGAAAAAAAAAAAGATGCCCTTTTTCCCCGTGGAAATCGCGATTGGGGGATGTCGGATTGGGGATGACCATTTAGAAACCCCTCTGTTGGTAAATTTTTTTGTTTTAAAAAATTTCATAAAAAAAAAATTTCTTTTTTTAAAATACAGATTGTATTTGCCTTTCCCTTTCCCCCAAGAAGTTGGCACGGGAACATTATGCCCTTTGGGTAAAAAAATTTGGGTTGGAAAAAGGCCTTTTTTGAGAAATTTTATTTTCTTACAAAAACAACGTTGTCAAATAACATTTTAAACCAAACAGTTTAAACTAAAATTTTATCAAAATTTTAGATTGATATTTTCAAAGACGTTTTAAATTTTAAAATTTAAAGTTGAATTTTCTGGCTTGGTCAATTCTCAACGTTGAAAAATTACAATTCTAAACGGAATCAAAATTCAAAGTTACACCGGCATATAAATAATTATGTGTTAAAATCCAGAATAAATAAGTTCTATATGGTACTTTTATAGAAGATCGGTCTTAAAAAAATAATAATTTGAAAAAATATTTCCGATATAATGATATAAAGGATGATAACCTACGTTTTAAGTGAAACAATTCAATGATCAGTCAAACAGAAATAAAGACATACCTGTATCAGAAGCAAATGAAACCGATATTATAAAAAATAACATCCAAGTTAACTTCATCATGTTTCAATACTAAATAACTACTAGTATTCTATAAATAGCACACAAACCAAAAAACATTTGTACATGGAATCCCAAAAATATAAATATAACCCTTGGTAAAGCATAACATTCTGCGCGTAGTCTATAGTAGGGTATTGGATGATATAGGTTAATAACTACATCCCAGACACAGTACCAAATTTAATGTTTAAAAGATAAACATTTTGTAAAAATATTACCATGACATTGTATATATATGTACAGAAAACATCTACCGGTATTCCGAATAATTAAGGTGTAAACAATTATATTTATAAAAATTTGATGTAAAAAAATGTATTCAAAAGTAAAATATTGTAAAGTGAACAAAAAAAAAACGCAATTCACTTATTACTAACGACGCTTGCAATCCACGTAAATAACAAAGAAAAGATCAAAATATGCAAAAACTGTGAAATCAATGATTTTGCACGAGATAAATAAAAACGCACAAATGTCACCTTTGTGTCACCGTATGTATAAGACATAATCTGTTGAATTTTTCTACGTTTACGTATATAGGGTTAAATATGGACGTACAACTCTTTTATTACCTTTAATATATCTTTGGTCTATATTGTGGCAATGTAAAACGGTTTTATAGAGCGGGAATATTTATTTATTAATGGGTATAGACCGATTTATTTATACACACCAAATGAAGCATATAGTAGTTCTAAACACGATGTTTAAAGAATATTTCTTAGAACCATGGCTAGCTATAGATATTCTACTGAATTTCAACAGTTTATTATACTAGTTCGTAAAATGACCACTATCATGAAACAAAAAAGATGCTTTCCCTGTGGAAGTCGCGATGGGCATGTCGGATGGGCATGACCATATAGACCCATCTGTTGGTAATCATTGTTTTAAACTTTCATAAAAAAAAATTTCTTTCCAACATACAGATTGTATCGCCTTTCTCGCCGAAGAAGTTGGCACGGACACATGCTTGGCTATAATATGCTTGTGAATGCCTTTTAGAGATTCTATTACTCTACAACAACAGACGTTTCACTAACATTTAACCAGCAGTTTAACCTAATTTGATCAAAATTTAACGATTGATCATTTCTCAACGACGTTTTAATCAAAATTTAATGTTGAATTGCTGGCTTGGTCAATTCTCAACGTTGAAAAATTACAATTCTAAACGGAATCAAAATTCAAAGTTACACCGGCATATAAATAATTATGTGTTAAAATCCAGAATAAATAAGTTCTATATGGTACTTTTATAGAAGATCGGTCTTAAAAAATAATAATTTGAAAAAATATTTCCGATATAATGATATAAAGGATGATAACCTACGTTTTTAGTGAAACAATTCAATGATCAGTCAAACAGAAATAAAGACATACCTGTATCAGAAGCAAATGAAACCGATATTATAAAAAATAACATCCAAGTTAACTTCATCATGTTTCAATGTTTGTTATTTTATCCTAAATACGGCACAAAAATCCAAACTTTTCTATAAATAGCACAAACCCAAAAATAGTTGTACATGGAATCCCAAAAATATAAATATAACCCTTGGTATTAAAGCATAACATACTGCGTAGTCTATAGTAGGGTATGGGATGATATAGGTTAATAACTACATCCCAGACACAATACCAAATTTAATGTTTAAGAGATAAACATTTTGTTAAAATATTACCATGTATATGTACAGAAAACATCTACCGGTATTAACAATTATATTTATAAAAATTTGATGTAAAAAAATGTATTCAAAAGTAAAATATTGTAAAGTGAACAAAAAAACGCAATTCACTTATTACTAACGACGCTTGCAATCCACATGAATACTAAAGAAAAGGTCAAAATATGCAAAAACTGTGAAATCAATTATTAATTGCACATAACATGTACAGTAAAGTATTACATGAATCTTGAATATTTTTATTTTCCTTAAAATCTTTACATTATTTATTTATTTATTTATGACTTTTCCTTTATATTTAAAAAAAATTAGTCCGGCAAGACACCAGTGAAAATACGGAAAATATGTTTCACTGCAACGAAAAGTAAATTTTTACATTGAAAATACAGAAAATGAAAAAAACGCATATTATTTCATCAATATTTCATCAATATTTTATTTATAAGTATATAATAAAGAGTCATAGTTTTGAAATAATTAAACAAAACCAAAGAGAAGCATATTTGGAGATAAATTTATGTTAACTTATTCAATAACATTTATCTAGAAAAAATTCTGAACATTTGTTCAAAATAAGTATAAAAGAGGTTTACAAACGAGATAGTTTTTAAGTTTTAAAGGGTCACCCTGTTTCTTTACTCATTCCACACTAAAAGCGTATACATAAAACTTCAAGTATTTCATAAGAAAAATCTAAAAATATATATATAAAAAGAAAATCATTATAAATGTATTGCCATGCAAAAAGGAAGAAAAAAAAACTGAAAAGTCACCAGAAAAGTATGAACAAGCACTTCATGTAATCTCTATCACGAGTCACTGAAAATGCATACGCTGCGGGAAAATGTTTCTCATTAGGAATCTAATACCTTAAGGTTGTTTGATATTACAGGCTGGAAATTTCTTTTCAATGCTAATAAAACATTGATATAGGTATAGATCAATAACTTGTGTGTTAAATTTCAGATCAATCGCCTCACTTCGTTTTTCCAGAATAATTACTGTAATTTTTAAAAATGACACAAAATGATCATCATCATCAACAACAACAACACCACATGTCACCACCACGTGTCACCATCACCACGTGCCACCACCACCACGTGAAACCATATGTCACCACTGCCACGTATCACCACTACCACGTGTCGCCACCACGTGACACCACCACCACGTGACACTACCACGTGACCAACCACCAATGTGTCACGGCACCCCACGTGACACACCACTCATCAACATGTACCACAACGTGTCATCACCACGTGTCAACCAATCACCACGTGCCAGACCACTAGTGTCACCACCACCGACGTGACATCACCACACGTTGTACCAACCGCCACGTGTCGCACCACCAGTGTTCATCACCAACCACAATGTCACCACCAACTACCAGACCACATGTCCCAACAACCAAGTGTCACCACAACACGGTGTCACCACGGACCTCAATGACACCACCTATCACGTGTCACCACTTCACACGTGTCACCACCGCCACGTGTCGCCACACCACGTGTCATGCACACCAAACGTGTCACCCACCACGCAGCGTGTCTCACCAACCACGTATCAACCAACGACCACGTGTCATTCAACAACGACGTGTCCACCACGACTCTTCGTGATACCACATCGTCAACGTGTCACCATCAGGCCACCAACTTGTCACCACCAACCACCGTGTCACCACCATCACCACGTGTCATCACCACCACGTATCACCACCCACCACCTCGTGTCACACCACCAACCACCACCACTTGTCACCCACACGTGTATCTATTTTATAGAATTTCTATTTATAGAATTGCGTGTTTCTAATTTATAGAATTTTCTATTTATAGAATTGAGTGTTTTCTATTTATATATATATATATATATATATATATATATATATATATATATATATATATATATATATATATTATATATATATATATATATATAGACAAAACTAATGTGACTAGAAGACCGATTAAATTAATAAAAAGGAAACGTTAAGATTTTATTCAAACATTTCTTTGTTTGCTTTTAGAGAAAGTAAAAAGTCGAGCGTTGCCCCCGCCCGGCGGTGGCTCTTGTTATCTTTTGCATATCTTTCCGTTTGAAGATTTCAATATGATATATGTAAGGAATTTCAATTAAATGTTTTTAGGTTATTGGAACTCAGTCGAGTTCTGCTAAAATAACTTGTCAGAAATGTTTTTGCCATACAAATATGGCAAATATAATCTTATCATCGATAAGAACGTTAAAAAGAATGTACTGCCTTGCGTCGATGCTGATATTCAAAACGTAACAATTTTATGAATAATTAAAACCAACATATCTATTCTGCTAATCTTGAACCCGTGAGTAAATCAGATATTCAAGGATCGAGACAATTTGAATCCATAGTTTATTATATTCTTATTAGTTATTTGCTATGCATGGTAACATAATGTGACTCGAAACGAACAACACTAGACAGATACATTTTTAAGATAGAGGATGCTTGTTACAAATCAACTATTTTTATGTCAGAATAAATGATTGATCATTTGCTCCTATATAAGTTTAAAGGCAATATTATTTCTAAAAATAATTTTAAAAACCAGATAACGGAATTACATTATCTTTTTCAATGCGAAAACTGCTCAGATATTACAATAATATCTTTTCTCTCTTTTTTTTTCTCCATAGCATTGTATCAGTTATAATTATGATACAGTAAAGGTATATGCCCTATTAATCTTAGGATACCGCGTGATTTCAAACCCCGTCAGGGGCAAGCTGCTGTTTCCGTGTGCAAGAAACTTTACATCATTTGCTTGGACACGAAACGGACGGACACGAAATAGTTTCAATAAGATTAAAGTGCCAAATACAATCGGACTAAAATAAACTTAATAAACTATTTGCCCTAAAAGTAGAATAAAATAAAGGTTGTTGTCAACCACAGGCACAATAATACAGACATTAATTATTGTTGGAAAAATATTAAAATTGTATGAAAAAAAATTAATTAAATATATTGAGATGGTATCATTCTTAGATACAGGTTTATATTTATGACAATATTTATTTGAAAATAATAATGATCATACTTTATACAGTTATCGTTGTGTACAGCGATATTTCCCTATTGCGATCAATGGCCAACATGAAATAAAACTATAAAAAAATAACGTGACATATTGACAGTTGTCTGTGATATAGTGATTATGTCTTAAGATGTATATTGTGATAGGTGTAAATTAAGTTACAAAGGTTTTGATTTTAAAAAAGGGGTGAGAGACACAGACAGAATTTGTATTTTTATTATG